TTTTTTTTATTAATAACTTTTTAAAAAGTTATGTCGTCCCCCCCCCTCCCTTCTTACCTTTAGCCTGGGAGGGGGAGGGAGCCGTTCTTCCTGGGAGGGGGGTAGCCGTGTTGCCATGAGGGGGGCATGCTGTCATGCTTCCCTGGTGGTCCAGTGGTGAGAGTGAACTCTAACCTGCAGGTTAGAGTTCACTCTCGCGAGATCTGAGCGTTGCCGCGGCAACGCTCAGAATCTCGCGAGAGGACCCGGCGGAGCTGCTGGTTAGAGCTCCGCCGGGTCCTCTCTCCTCCCTCCCTCCCTCCCTCCCTCACCCAGCCGGCGGCCGCATCTCCCTGTCTGTGGGCCGGTGAGGAAGATCTTTGATCTCCCCACCGGCCCAGGGAGGCACATAGCAGGGCCGGCGCTCGGGTAGCGCTGGCCCTGCAGGGGCTGGCCGGGGAGATCCCCTGCCGGCCTCGGCCCCACGGCCATCGCGGCCCACCGGGCATGTGCCCGGTATGCCCGATGGCCAGTCCGGGCCTGCCACTAAAACTTTTTGAACTCACCCTAGGCCTCATTTTCTAGAGCCTTTGGTTGCCAAACGAAGTGGACTCCATTTAGCCTCATTCTACCCACAAAAAAATAAGTAAGAGGGTATGAATAGAATTTGCTTGTTGGAGATTTACTAAAAGTTAATGAAAAAAGCAAGGGATTGAATGAAGGCACTATACTGATAACTTCATTAAACACTACAATTTGCTGGATATTTTGTATGGAATGTCCCTTCTAGCATATTGTGGAAAGGAAGTTAGATCTTATTGTCTAACCTGATCTGAGATACTGTGGATGGGCAACCTGATCTTCTCTGGATGAAAAAGCACAAAAGAAATGCTGGCACCAAAACTAAAACAGGTGCCCCTATACTGTGACAGAGCTTTGAATCACTCATTTGGAACTCTCTCTAACCTCATAACACTTTAGCTCTGTCTAGTACTAAACGTATTCAATGGGCTTCTCATATTTCAATGCCGCATTACTATGTAATTAGTCATGAGATTAGGTTAATGATTTAAGGATTGCAGGGGACAGTAGTGATTTTTAGATCTCCTTCAATGTTTTTTCAGCTACCTGAAATCAAACATGTGCCCTACTCTGCCGTGAGCAAGCACTGAGGTCACACTCTTCAGAACAGCCACATTGATGGTGTTAATTTGGTTAAGTTAATCATTCTAAATGGCGCTACTTATTAACCAGTGATGTAATATGCAAACGGGAACACCATAAAGATTACAAATAAATTAACACTGTAGAAATGAATGAAAGAATTCATAGATGTTTTAGTATCCACATTTCCTGTATAATTATAACCTGTGAATCACTTTAAGTTCATGTAAGATTATTTTAATGCAATATATGAGCAAATATATCCATCAACTTGTATGGAAGTGCACTGTTCAGTCTTCATTTATTACATTTACCGTGTTTGTTCATGTGCAGAGGATATCTCTAACCCTCTGAGATTAAGCTCGCCAAACCCTTTGTAGACTTAATTTTTTTTCTTTTTTTTTTACTACAAAGTATGCAACCACATTTATTTCCATTTTATTTACTGAGAACTAGTTCATTATTAACATCATACCTGGCAATGCTATAATTTATAGTTATAGATTATTCATTGTTATCATGCTTTCTGCTGTTTCTATTTCTTTTATGTTCTATTGAAATACTAGGTGAGGTATGTAGAGTAGACCATCAGCAACAATGCAACCTCAATACCAAAGTGAAAAAGAGTTAAACCATGATCTGCTACCTGCTGAAACATATTATTGTTGGTTAAAAAAATGAATAACAAAAGCTCCCATAATGATAAAGGAAGGAGGAAAAAAAGACTATTTAAATATTATTTTGAGTATTTGTTACTGAGTAACTAAGCGCTAGACACAGGCGTCCAAGGCACCTAAAGCTGGAAATGTATTTTGGCACCTACCCTAACTGTTAGGGAAATTACACGCACATATACACCCACACATTCATATGCAACACACTTACATTCATATATACAAACACACACACATATATAGATAGATAGAGTTAATACAATGTTAAACAAAAATCTGCACCCCAGTCAAGCCATAAGACTTGCTTTTCCCACAGGAATCACAAATAATTAGCAGTGATGTTACTACCGAAAAGGATTCTGGGTGGGCATATGCAAATAAGTTCAACAAAGAATCATGTTTTTGCCTCATTCCATTTTAAACATGGAGTCTGTGTTTGCTGTATACAACAGCTTCGAAACACAACTTAGAAAAAGATGCAAAGCCAGTGACATGGACAGCTGTTTCATTGTTAATGCAAATCATCAGGTTGGTTACTGGCTGGCTAGTGAGGCTTGGCTGTACTTGAGTAGCAAAAAACAAAAAAGGTATGGAGGGGAAAAATTGTGTTTGAAAACCCCTTCCACCTGACGTTTGTGGATAGTTAATACAATGTTTAACAAAAATCTGCACACCACTCAACCCATAAGACTTGCTTTTCCCACAGGAATCCCACATTTGCAGTGATGTTACTGCCACAAAGGATTCTGGGTGGGCATATGCAAATGAGTTCAACAAAGAATCAAATTTTTGCCTAATATATACCGTATATACTCGTGTATAAGACGACCTTTTCAGCACATTTTTTATGCTGAAAAAGCCCCCCTCGGCTTATACTCGAGTGAGTGAGTTTCACCGGGACTAAATGCATGTTCTCCAGCGAGCTCCCCCTCACACGGCGCAGAGTTCCCGCAGTCCCAGCTCCCTGTCCTATGTGTAACAGACACTCCCACAGCAGCTCGATTCACTCCTTGCTCTGATCGCAAGTTAGTTCCCCATTTTCCCCTACATGTACTTCTGCGCCTGGCGGAAGGAAGTGACGTGGGTATAGCATTCTGACAAGGTATGGGAATCTGATAGAACACCGGCTCGGGCAAAGCCACCTCTGGCTCCAGGAGTACTGGCAAAGGGAGCTGCAATGGAGGAGTCGCCAGCCCCAGCTCGGGTTGCCTTGGGCTACCAGTATGTGGCCACAATTCCCCCACCTGCCTGGAACCGCAGTCTTAGTACAAGTTGGAGGACTTTGATACTGTAGCTACTGTGGGTACTGTGAGTCCTGATCTGGCTTCTCAATCACACTGTCACTTATCATTATAAAAAAAAAGTTTGGGCAAACCAAGTGGCTGAGCATGATGGTCATTGCATTCCATATTCTGGTTTATTGATTCTTTTCTTAGAATTATGGATAGGCTTGGCTGTCCATCTTGCTGAGCATCCCGTGTCATGTAGTCTTTAACATCTGAAACAGCAAGAGAACCCTAGTCAGATACAGCTGTATTGTACAAAGGTTTGTGAACTACGAGCATCAAATAAGGAAGGGATCCTCAACCTGAACATGATTAGACATGTAGCCCACAATGACTTAAGTTCAAGCTCCTTGTAATCTACTAGTGTGATCAGTGACATGTGATGTAGCATGCTGAACTCCCCAAGGCTTATATCAGCACAGCTGTACCAATTTATTGATTTTAGCTTGGGAATCTCAGGGTTAAAAGGGATCTCAGAACAATCAAAGTTAATATTGTCTGTTTTTATTTTTTAAATTTACCAGTAGCTGCTGCATTTCCCACCCTAGGCTTATACTCAAGTCAATAGGTTTTCCCAGTTTTTTGTGGTGAAATTAGGTGCCTCGGCTTATATTCGGGTCAGCTTATACTCAAGTATATACAGTATGTATATATCACATAAATACTAAAACACACTATATAATATACATATAAATATTTCTTTTTTACACACACAGAGACACATATACACACAAATATATGGACTCATACATGCACATTCATATACACACATACTCAAACACACTTATACATTCATATGCATACATAGACTCACTCACACACACATATTAATGCACATACAGATTCATGCCATACACACACACGCAAACAGTTTTTAATTTATTTTTATACTGAGGCTCACCCAATCTCCCTTTTCTTACCTTAAACCTAATCCCTGGTTCAGTGAAGAGATACTATGATTGATCAGCTCCCAGTGCCTCCTGTAGCTCTGTACTAATGCCTGGGCTAGTGTGACATCACCTGCCTGCAACCAGCATCAGTATAGGGCTCGTTCTGCAGTCCTTTACAACAGTGGCAGAACAAGTACCTGCTGTGCGCCACCCTTGCCAGCAATGCCCCGATAGGTAGGTATGTGTGCTGGCAAGCGGGGGTGCTCTGCTGCATGTCAACTGGCTCAGACAACTACCTTGTGTCCCCAATTAGCATGCCGCTATGGTGTGTTAGTAAAAAGCAGCTGTAGCATTGCTGAGACCAATAGCTGGTAGATGTCTATAGCTTGAACGTTTCCATCATCAACACTTGTGTTGAACTTTTCCATGCTATTCATGGTCACTCCCACTGATATCAATGACATCATTAGCAGGGTGTGGAGGGTGCAGACCATTCCTGGTGACACAGTCAGAGGGAGTGACACCAACAAAACTGGAGTCACCTTAAGGCAGCACAGGTGGAAAATGCTGTGTCCACCTGGGCTGGTGAGGGAGACCATAAATCTTTCTTCCTGGCCTAATGTACCCAATGCATAGAGGTCCAGAGACATTCGGGTGCAGACCTTGAATATCACTCTCGTGAGCTCAGGCAGTATACTAACTTATAATATTGGAGCATTGCCATGGTAACCTGTGGCAATGGTCTGACACTAGCAGTGAGCTGGAATTTACAATAAGAATATACAAGGTTAGCACCTGGCGAAGGTGCAGACCGGAAAGACTGACCACTGAACACCAGGGATCTCATCATTGCCTTGTATGGGAGGAAATCCATGGGAGGATGACACCGTCAGTCACCGCACTGGGT